GCAAATAATTAAAAGAAATTATTATGATTTCTTGCATCGAAAACGGCTAAGAAATAGCATTATTTCTATTCACAGCTATAAATGTAACCATAAAAAGAAACGATATTTACATGCCTTGATTAAAAATAATATAAAATCATATCAACTTTTATTCATATAAAGTAGGATTTCAAGTTGATCAGTATATCCTAATTGAAGACTCCATGCACCCTCGGTCGTTTAATATGATGAGAGAATGATAGGCCTCAAGGTGAGAGTGCCAATAAAGCAAAAGTTTACATTGCACCACAATCGACTGCGTTAATAGTATTGATAGAAAGTAGTTTCTCAAAACTTTATATATCTTGAATATGAGTTATGGTTAAACTTATCATATTATGTGTGAAAATTCGTTCAATTAAAAGTATAGTTGATTGCATTTTCTGCGATTAATTAAAAGCTTTAGTGGAGAGTAGGAGTATTCATTAGAATTGAATCTCTTTAAGCATACTTTGTTAAAATTTCCGAAGCCAATCTTTGACTCTTTAATTATTATTAAAAATAGTTAAAAATTAAATGAGGAAAATTAAAATGTACCTACTTTTACCCAGTAATTCGTTTAATCCTTGTTTCCTTTCGGTTTTCCATTCCACTTATTTGAACATTATTTTTTAGCTTTCTCGAGAATAGATTACATGCTCAAAGGGATAATTGTTATTTTCCTGCAAAGTCATACTTGTAGACTTTTTCATGACGAATGCTGCAGGGAAATTTTTCATCCGTCAAATGATAGTAAGAGCAGAACTCTATTATCGGTTCAATGACGATACTTTTGATTACGATGAAGAAAGCATAAAGAGCCTATTTATATATTGCCTTGTGTATCACATTCGCTGGGGAATGTGAAAGGGAAGTCGCAATGGGATTTTTTGGGTATGCTTTTAACTTGCTAAAAAGCTCAATCATATGTAGCAATTGATAATTGACAATATTTTATTATATTTTCTTAAAAAATAATGGAAAGCTACAGAGGTTTTTGACCGCAAGAAGAAAGTAGGCATAAGTTGATGAACAATTTTCGAGAAATAATGGATATAAAGAAAACATTATTAAAATGTAACCGATATAAAGAAGAGGGAGAGAGAGAAAGTTCAAGATTTTATTTGCAAAACTCGTGTTCCAACAGGCATGGAAAGTGTGCAAGTATAGTACATCAAAAAAAACAAAATGATTTTCATAAACGAACCTGGAAAAAATATTGATAATCCATTTTCCCAAGTGATTATCTATTGACAGGCATGTGCTTTAAGCCTAGTGTTGAGGCGAAGTCATCTTTTGCTTACCTATCTCCGCTTAGACAAGACTATTAGGATAAATATTTATGAATGTGTGTCCTTAATTTTCTGTAATCGTAATTATTCTATTAATATTTTTTGAAATTTTGTTGCCTCATAAAGAGGTCCAGGTGACTAATGATATATAATATAAAATAGACTTTTTTTAAATAATTTTACATTCCGTTGAGCGATTTTTTAAGTTAAGTAGAATACTGAAGAATCAATATGATGCAAATACCTCACTCAGGTTAGGAATCATATAAAGGTGGTTTTTTATCGAAATAATTTTTCGGTATAACTAAATAAAATGAATTAATCATTTATAATTTTCAATGAACTCTTAAATGTAACACAGCCTTGAGAGAATAAGTTGTTTTTCAGTTTTAATTGTCCCATATTGCCTGAGTTTACGAAAGCACTTTTGCTACTGTTGTCTTTAAGTTGGATAATAATATAAATCCTAGAGACCAGACTTATGCTTACACATAGTCAAAGTAATTCCGTGTTTTGGGATTCAAACTCTAACCGTTTAGGTATATTAAGGTAATAAAAAAATGATAGCGGAGTTCTCTCCACAATTATGTGTGTAGTCCTTAAAAATGGGAGAGTTTCCCTCATATCCAAAATTGCACATGTATTGTAAGAGAAATTAATTGTGATAATCAAAGTGACAAAAGATTATATTTTCTATTATGATGTAAATACCGCAACATCCGTAAGCAAGTAGTTGAAAAAAAAATTGAAAACAGGTCGTAGCCATCAAAGCGATTTATATTGAAACCTCGTGCCCAGTCTGATTACAATTGCATAAAAGATTTCTTTAGTATGAATGTTTGAGGGAGGAAGAAATATATCAATTCGAGTCTTTTTAATGCCAAAAAAATAAGGGCTCAATTTTGTTACTGAAACTATTGCAAAACAATACAACATGGATATAACTTGTACTTGAAAACGAATAATCATCTGCTTCGTACCATCTTATGCCAGATGTCCTATTAAACTCTTAAGGCTCTGAATTAATTTACCGAATGGACAAATTGCATTAAGAAAATCAGGTTCGTAGTATGCAATAAATAAAAGCAAAATTGTGGTAACAAGCAAATAACCATACGTGTGAGTGGAGAGTAGTCTACTCTAACTCTAAAATTAGGCTTTCATGCAATTTAGTAGCATTTGAAGCATGCGGTGAAGAATGTATCGCAGGTTATTCTGAAGCTATTCGACTTGGAATTGACATTTGCTGAGGGCCACGTAAACAGCAAGTTGATGTCAAAACTGCATTCGAGCCTGAGTGAAGAGTAAGTTTAAGTTTAATGCCTTATGCTAGTCTTCTGCAGTGCCTAGAAAGTAAGTAGAAGAGTTTTATACTTTGTCTTAGAACGGGCTTTCCTGATCACCTCTACCTCACTTGTGTGTCGATAATTCAAAATACTGCTCTATTTATGGCAGTAAATAAAAAATTAATATGAGAAACTCTACTCAAATGCGAAAGTAAAAAAAAAGTTCTAACAAGAAAGTGCCAGTGCCTAACAATCACTCCGAAAGAATATTCCTTCGGTGGAATCGTGAAAAAGGAATCAAATTTAAATTATGTTCCACCCTCGGCAACATAAAAAGATAAGTTAGAAGGAGGTTCGCCTCATAAAAAAACGATCTGTTTGTAATAAGTTCTTTAATAAGGTGGGAATTTTAAAGTAAAAGGCAATATTATCGTTATTTTTGACACCAATAAAACCAAAATATGAGTATAAAGATACCTTTTTCACTTATAGACAATCACTACCTGAATGGTGCTGAAAATTGAACGAACTAATTCAAGCTCCTCAACATAAATGCCAGAATTTAGTAAGTTTTTAAGAAGTGAGATATTTGAGATTTCTAAGATACCATGGAGCCATTACTCTCCAGGCATCTTCCAAGCTAGATTATTCAAATAATGTTTGTGAGGATCTCGATGGATAAAAAATAACTTTTCATTAGATCTATATTTACTGATTTATACAAGATATCCTGGCAATATATATAATTCCACTTTCAAAGGCAATAATATCTTTAATCTATGAAATCCAGAATATTTCATTGCTAGTTCTGGAAGATTCGTCTACTTGAGCAGGTCTATCTGTCTTTACAAGCCGTCTAATTAAACAATACGGCTCAGATTTGTCCGAAGAATTTTCTCTAAACCTGATTCAATATGAGAACTGGACTACATTAGGTCCTTCAACTTTCATCTTTAATTAAGTAACAATCATCCTGAATGTCATATTAAATCACGACTTTAGAGACTCAATGTAAATAAGAGCTAATGATGACGAGCAGAAGCCTGGCTAAGTGATTAGGATAGTAGTATCTGGGATAAGGGATATTAATTGAATTACTAGGTGTAAAGTTTCCAGTGCTTAAAGAAAGTAAAAGTTAGCAAAAGGATGCTATATCCTATTCAGTATCCCCAGACTTAACGTGAAAAGAAGGCGAAGCCTATCCAAAAATCCCTTGAAATGGTTCGAGGCTGTAATAGAGGGTGGTATTACAGAATGCTGTAGGAAGATTATGCTGAATGTATTTTTGCAATTTTCTACTAAAATAAAAATGGGAAGATTTGTAAAAAGCACATGGTTCAAATCAAGCAGCCGAATTAGCTGTAAATGTTAGGCAACCATTTTTAACGAAAATTCGCCGAGAAATTTTAATCCTCATTAAAACAAAGTTCGGCAAATTTTATTTAACTTTTACTGCTAGATCTTGGCAGAGTATCTAGGTTAGCAATCTTTCTGTCTAGCCCTTTGGGTAAAATGCCGTCACTAAATTAGTTAATTAAACGTCTAGTCTGTTCGGGTGGTTTTGATAAGTTTCTATTTTATGATTTTTCTTTGCGATATTTTGTCAATTTATATGCCAACGTCAACTTATTTATATCGCAGTAAGGAGCCTATCATAACATGTTCAATTTTTCAACTAGAATGAATTTTAATAGAATGAATTGGAATTTCATAGCTTGCAAATGACAAATAATTAATAATCCTGCTCACTATTAATTGTAATTCGGTGTAGGTAGTAAACTTCAGAAAATTCATGTAACCTTATATTTATACATACACTTTGAGATTTGGCATGAATATTAATTTTATGCCTACACGATTAATTTTAGAGAGTGAAGAATATTCCAGCACTTACCATCTACAATTAATGGAGTTGGATCCAGTTCGCATTCTGAAGTTCTCATTGAGCAAAGGCAAGGTTTACAGCCGAGAGGATCATTGTCCATTAGACCAAAATGGCCAATTTTGCATCTAAATTTGTGTAAAAGTTCTTTGAAATTAAAAATAATCTTTGATGAGCTTGCAAAGCTAAACAGATTAATTTTTATTACATATAAATCTTATGAATGCAGTGTCATATTCTATAGTAAGGCCATTAAAATTTTTCACCTCACAAGAAGCCGATAATTATTTTGTTTGAAAAATCTGATGTTATTCTAAACAATATAGAAGTTATTTTGTTAAATGAGCTTGAATCAACTATAAAAAATATCCACTTAAGCTGAGATAATCGAATAAACTCGCTAGATATGAGTTAACAGTAGTTACCTCCAGGTATATGATTTGATTCATACTAAAATGTATTCTCGTCCCATAAATAAAAAAATAAAAACATGAATTACAATTATCTATATATAAGAAAGCTCTAGAGGACACACTCTGAGCAGGTCTTGCCCACAACGTTGTCTTTGCAGAGGCATTGACCAGTTTTAGAGTCGCATTGAGCTCTGTTTTCAAGGCTACCACCAGGAAAGCAGTTGCACGGCCTGAAATTACGTAAAAATATCAAATAATGAAGTAATGGTTAGGCTATACAATCACAAGCTTCTCTTCCTTATTCTGATAACGCATGTAAATAAAGAATCAAAATTTGTAAAAGCTGCTTTATTCATCATATTTCATTCACGGTGAAAAAAGATTTATAGTTGAAGTTTCTTACAATAAAAGAGGTTTCTTGCCTTACAAAATTGTGGAAAAATTCGACTAACAGTCCTTCATAACGTTTAGCGAAAATCTACTTTTAAAACGAAAATTGCAAAAATCTACTTTTTCATGTTGCACTATTGTCATGATAAAATGTTAGATATAAAAAAACCCAAAAAATGTAAAACAAGTGCTTGGAGGGTGTATTTCTATTCTTCGATGTTGGCACGGATTGGCACAGAAATACTGAAATTCATTCACTATAAAGCTTGATCGAATACGCAGTGGTAGAATTGAGATTAATCATAGCTAGAAAATAATAAAAAATAATTTTGTAGTAAAATATGCACTTATTTTACTTAACTCCCACAAGATGCTTTGACAACTGCCTCAACGAAGCTGATATGCGTTTCATATGTTGTGATAAACTTGAAGTATTAATATATATATATATATAGCGAGTGCATTTATAATATAGTACATTAAAACTTTAGTAATGAGGTATTATTAATAAAGTATATTGAATATATTTAGATAAGGTTTTACAAAATGCACAAATTGTTAAGTGACATCGATGGAGCGTTTATACGGATATATGTTTGCTCTGCATTCCTAAATAAATAAGTTTCTGATTGCACACGGTATAAAATTATAGTAAAATTTAACAAACGACTATATTCCATTGTTGAGGGACCTTCAATTTTTATGAAATTTCATAAAGAAGAGATTCAAAGGTCGATTTTACCAGAAAAGGACGGCCGATTTCCGTTGTACTACAAGGTTTTGGTTGACGCAGCCTGCGAAACATCTTTCTTTGTTTCGTGCGAAATCGGGCTAAGCTTTCGTCCATCTTATGATGCACATCCTCAGAGCTGGAACCAATTTTTTTGTATAAATATGCTATTGGCACTAGGACAAGAAGCAAAACGGCTGCAGTACCACGAAAACCAGCCGTCCTCTTCTGGCTGATTTGACCTTCGAATCTCTTCTTCATGCATTTTCATACGAAATAAAATTTTCCCCAACAATCTTATCTCAGGAGATTCATATATTCTAAACACCACTTTCAGAAATCGATAAAAATTATATACAAGTTATATCAATACAGTTTTGGACCCCTTGTTTGATCGTAGTAACTAAGGCATTAATAGCACCCTTTGCATTATTATAAAATGTGTTAATTACATTTTTATAGCCATAACTAGAATTATAAGTGAGGTGGTGAAATTTAATGCAGTCAGAGTGTTTATTGCCAACATCATAGTGGAATGTACATCATGTTTAGTAACCAAGGGAAAGCAATAGCTATTAATAGAATCACATGTCATAAAAGAAAGGTGTTCCTTAATTGGAGAGAGTTATATTGTTCGAATAACGTTAAAATTTAGCATATTGAGAAGCGTATTAAGACCATATTTAACTTTACAATTGTGCACTATTGACAAATATAAATAAGTACTATATATATAAAAATAAAATTGTAAATAATTTGTCTGAATTCTTTTAGAAAGGTTTCTTAAAGAGGTTGCAGTCTCTTTTTAATGTCTACTCACTGACATCCGGCGGCACTGAATCCATAGTTGTCGTCTAAACAACGGTCACATTTCCTACCACCCACACCCGGTTTGCATGCGCATTGACCATCTGAATCGCAAGTTTGTGAAGAGCCTACTGTTCCGGTGGGGTCGCAATCACAGTGCAAGCAAGTAGTTGGCCTCTGTGGGTTCATATAATGGCCCTCCAGACAGAGCTCACAGTGTGTACCCACAGTATTGTTACCGCAAGCGATACATCTGCTTCCCGATCCAGTTGTACGATAGAGTGACTCATCGAAGTCGCAGAGCTGAGAATTGTCATTACATTGGCAGGCTGTGAAATTGGATTTGGCAATGTCATCAAAATATATAATGAATTTAAACTCGAGATAAACTAGACAATACCTTCGCTCTTAAACAATATGCAATGTTGACATGGACTTCCCAGTTTATCAAAACATAACCAGTTGTGATGCCCAGTTCTTTTCAAAACCTCCCTAAAGGTTATAACTAGAAAGGAATTATTATTATTATTATTCCGGACGACACAAACATTTATATGTGATATATGCCAAGGCATCGAATCTGCTCCAACAGGTTACTGTTTTGTTATGAGTAAAGCATAAACATTAACAAAGGTAAGAAAGATTATATCAAAAGGGGAAGAATGTAAAACCTTAAATGTTTGAGAAGTATTCACTCTATATTGTATCTTATAAACGAAAAATCAAATGTTTGCTTTAGATGCTGTCTGTAATTCGATTGGTGGTGTCATATAGATTTTGTAAGAGCACACGAAGGAGACAAACAAGAAAGTCAACCAAGACAAAGTGAAGACATGTGATTGTGTAGACAGAATCATACAAAGTATCCGCACAAAAGAACCAACTTTAGCTCGACACATGCATGACTGGATTGCGTCCAAACTGTGAAGTTTGTTTATCCTGCCCGATAGACTGGCCTCAATTTGGTCTGGCCTTCAAACAATACTTGTTATAGCTTCGCCGTGCCATTAATGTATACAGTCTCGTAGAATTTAGGATCGGTCACCACGGCTACAGGGTAGGCAATTATGCCTCCTAAAGAGATGGCCAACAATGACAGTTGGCCAACTGTGATACTATTTACGGTTGCAAACATATAAATAGTGAAATGAACAATTTGACCCGGAAATTAGTGAAGCTGGCTGAGCCAAATAGGCATAGTTTAAGTGAATAATGCCGTGTTACACGAGTGAAACCCATACACATTAATCGAACTGATCTTGGGGCCTGATTAAATGTTGCTGCTTTGGCATGGAGATGAAACTTTTGGGTAGTTATGTTTCTTATTAAACAACAATAATGAGCCGGAGTTATGCATTTTAAGCATGGAATGGACTTTATAACGAGCCGAAATCAGATATCAGCAAATTTTAACAAAAGCATTAGTATGTTTAGTTAATCCTTTAAAATGTTTTATCAATCGTAGGATCCCCGATTGCTTATCCGTTACTTGAGCAACAACCAAGAAGATTAGCGAAAAAGCCAAATTATTTATGGGTATATTTCATATAGTAAGCAAATTAAGAATGCATTTTCTAATATTTTAAACCATTATTTTAGTGGCTAGTTTGTATATCGTAATAAACAGTTTACTTCTGATGCAGGTGCATCACTCCCGTTTAGAATTGAAGTAATGATTATACCGTAAATTCAATATTAACATAATTTTACCTAGTTGTTCTAAAATATTTTGTTTAGTAAGATTTAAAAACCTCAAATGGAGGAGCAATAAATTGACATAATGAAATAATTAGTTTTAAAGTTGTTCGACAGGTTTCTTGAGCATTATTGAATATTTTCCAGCGATTTTCAATTACATGGCCTGAACTTTAAGCGATTAATTTCATTCCTAAAAAAGCTTAAATCAAAAATCGTAGAAACTCGTGGTTGTCATTTGGTGAGTTTTAGGATCCCGAGGTCACTGGGGTGTGATTATGAGAAAATTCGTAGATTCAATCGAATATATATGATTTTGCCAGTCACTGTCATGAAGGACTTGCTAAAAAGGTAGAGCAGATCTTAACCAGTCAAAATCAGTATTTTGAGAGCTTTAGGCTATTTCCATATGGAATCTGCCCTATAGGCCCAAACAAACTTTAATTCATTTATACACTTCATGTATAAACTTTAATTCAATTTTGAGACAACCAAACACCAGAAATATGTGTATATCTTGGGAGACTGAGATAATGTACTTGTTTGCAGATTGCAAAACATGAAAATTCCTCATAAATTATTCGCGATATCTATGTCATCCATTATAGCGTCTGCGCCTGGGGAAGTTTCTGTTATCGTTTTTAAAATTTGTGATCAACAATTCTGCTCAAACTTTCAGATTGTCAGAAAATATTTTTTTGAAACACCTCAATTTTACAAACCGTTTCTAAAGTCATTATCTTCATTAATGTTGGTATACTTTTTACTTTGTTTAAAAAGGTGAGTGGAATTGAAAAAGAATCTCTATCTTTGCATCAGGATTCTGCAGGCAGCATCTTAATTAGGGCTGGTTTACCTTTTGATTTCGCTTCAAAAAGGTCGGTGGAATAACACAGAAGAATTGCTTTGTAGTTGTGACTGTTGACTTGTGAGAAGAATTCCAATGTCCCCGATGAATCCATCGTGAGTTCCACATTTTCAGTTTGCAGACATCATCAAAGCGAAATACCACTTATTTAGAAAGCCGGCTGTGATACTACCTACTTCTCACGGCCCAACTATGCCCACCTAAGGGAGCACCATATGATCTGATTGGCCAATTCATACCATTCATAAATGCTTGCAGACAAGGGAAATTGCTCCAGAGCACACGTAAAGGTGGCGCATTCACGACAAAACAGCATCATCATCTGCAAAATCACATACAT